TAAGTCTACTTTTGCCCCTCCCGAATGCCGAGTGAATGTTGAGTTTTACTGTTTAATTTATTTTGTCCACATCTTTTTTGTATTGTCCTGCACTCCCTTTCCCCTTTGATTGTAAGCCGCCCTGAGTCCCCTCAGGGAAAAGGGCGGCCTATAAATGTGCAATAAATACCAAAAAAAATACCAATTCCTAGAATTCCCCAGCCAGTATGTTTTAAGATGGAAGGATTTCAATTCCCAGAATTCCCCAGCCAGCCTGCTTTAAGATGGATGGACCTTAATTCCCAGAATTCCCCAGCCAGCATTCTTTAAGATGGCTGAAGTTCAATTCCTAGAATTCCCCAGCCAGCATGTTTTAAGATGGAAGGATTTCAATTCCCAGAATTCCCCAGCCAGCCTGGTTTAAGATGGATGGACCTTAATTCCCAGAATTCCCCAGACAGCATTCTTTAAGACGGGTGGCCTTCAACTCCCAGAATTCCCCAGACAGAATTCTGGGAGTTGAAGTCCGCCCATCTTAACGTGGTCAACGTTGAGGACCACTTCCTTGGGAGTGATACACAACATCCAGAAATACTCACTGAAGAGGGGATGGATCCCTACAAGGCTGAACTCCATTTCTTTCACCCGCTTGATGGATTCGGGGGAGGGACTTGGTCGGGATTTTTGGTACTGCTTCAGGGCATTGTCAGAGATACGGCGTAGGCTCTGAAGGTCAAGAGAACGCTCGTGGTCAGTCTGTAGCAAGCTCTCCTCGTCATCTAGGGTGACTTGGGGAACGCGGCCAAAAACGCCATCTGAATCTGAGGGAGAGAAGTTCCAGTATTTTCAGAAATTCAGTAAGTCAAGAGAATCGAACTGCTGGCAGTGGGCAGAATTAGCCTGCCATACTGCATTCTAACCACTGCGGAGTTCCATTGTTTTCAGAAATTCAGTAAATCGAAGAGAATCGAACTGCTGGCAGTGGACAGAATTAGCCTGCAATACTGCATTCTAACCACTGCCGAGTTCCATTGTTTCCAGAAATTCAGTAAATCGAAGAGAATTGAACTGCTGGCAGTGGGCAGAATTAGTCTGCAATACTGCATTCTAACCACTGCGGAGTTCCATGGTTTTCAGAAATTCAGTAAATCAAAGAGAATCGAACTGCTGGCAATGGGCAGAATTAGCCTGCAATACTGCATTCTAACCACTGCAGAGTTCCATTGTTTCCAGAAATTCAGTAAATCAAAGAGAATCGAACTGCTGGCAGTGGGCAGAATTAGCCTGCAATACTGCATTCTAACCACTGCGGAGTTCCATTGTTTCCAGAAATTCAGTAAATCAAAGAGAATCGAACTGCTGGCAGTGGGCAGAATTAGCCTGCAATACTGCATTCTAACCACTGCACCACCATGGCTCGTGGTCATGTCACTTCTTCCAGTGCTGTCGTGACTTCGAACGGTCACTAAATGAACAATTGTTAAGTTGAGGACCAGCTGTACTTACCTGTGGGCTTTTGATGAGGACTGGCAAAGACCAGAGGCCGACCCAGGAAGAGATGCAGGTCAAATACGTAAGGGACTTCATCGGGAGCCACAAGGGAGTAGGCTGTTCCAGTCCTCCCCGCACGGGCCACTCTGCCTATAGGGAGAAGATGAGAAGTCGAAATGGGTCGAGCATTGAACGGGGCTTCGGAGTCCTTGATCTTTCTTGAACTTCTTGAAGTTTTTAAGAAGGTATTGGATATCCATTTGTCTGAAATGGTACAGGGTTTCCTGTCTAGGCAGGGGGTTGGACTAGAAGACCTCCAAGGTCCCATTCAACTGTGTTAATTCTAAATTCTAAATCTTCTCTGGGTGTGATTGTTTGCTTGTAGACAATTCGTTACCGGACTAGGTAACACCATCAGAACTAAGGAGTGTCGGGTTTACGCCCTACAGCAGCTTGTCCTCGGTGGAGGTGTGTTCCTTGAATGACAAATTACATGTTACGCACCCGTTGAAAAGAGGCGATAAAAAAAATAAGAAGGAAACAAAAAGAATACATCCTCTCCATCAACACAACACTTCAGTAAGCAGGGATTAACCCCAGACAAACAATCAAGCAGAAAAAAAAATGCCATAATTAAGGAATTATATAAGTCAGCCAATGAGGGCTGTTTGGAAACTGAAACTAATCTGTCTGCTGAACTGAAACTGAAACTATTCTCTCCTCTGCCTGTCTTTTGTACCTACTTATTATCTCTCCTCTCTACCACGTTGGAAGAACCACTCTTGGTATTGTATTACTTCATGTATTATTATGTATATAAAGAGAAGTTAATGAATCCTGCTGAACCAGTTACCTGTGTGTGCTTTCTGGATTTGGTTGCTGCAACAAACTCTGACATTTTTCTCCTCCTCCTCCTCCCCCTCCTCTCCCCAAACCCCAATCTCTTCTAGCCCTGATGATGTTCATTGTTTCGGTAATGAAACATCTGCAAGAAAACCACCAAGCTCAGAGAGCACCAAGGAGCCAGAAGAGGAATTTTTGCCCCTTACAGCAGGGATCTGCGGCTCTGGAGCTGCATGTGGCTCTTATATCCCCCTGCTGCGGCTCCCTGTCACCAGGCGGTAAAAGGAAAAAGGACATAGTGCTAGGAGGAGACTCTATGGTGGGGGAACCGGACTTCCGCTCAGCTCCAGAACTGGGGGGGGGGGGGCTTCCGGTTAGGACCTTTGTGGCTCTTTAAGGTTGTCAACCCCTGCCTTACAGCAATAAGCAGATTCATAAAAATAACCCTGGAAGGCTGCGGGCTTTTAAGAAACTCACCGACGCGGTGCAGAAAAAGCTTTGCCTTGGCGGGGAAGCTGTAGTTAATCACATTATCCAGGAGAGGGATATCGATGCCGCGAGCGGCGAGATCGGTGACAATCAACACGGAGCACTTGCCGTGGGCAAACTTGCCGATGTTGATTTTGCGAGCCGTCTGGTCCAGAGAGCTGTAGATGTTGGTGCAGTTCACCCCCTGCATGGTCAGCAGCTGGAAGAAGAGATGCCTCCGTTCATGCCAGGGGAAAAACCAGCAAGCGGCGGGAATAGGCGAGGACTGCAAATCCTCACCTTTCCCCGGGCAATGGGAGGGAGGGCGTGCTGCACGTACCTCCTTCAGGTATTCTGTGTGATGTTTGGTGGCCACAAACACAATCGTCTGGTCTTGGGGCTTAACCACCGTCCTCAGCAGATGCAAGAGAAGGGCTGGCTTGTCGTCAGCCCGCACGTGAAAAAACGAGAGCTAGGGAAAGGAAGTTAGGACATGGGATCATAAAGATGGAAGCGATGCCTCGGAGGTCTTCTAGTCTAACCCTGTGCTCAAGGCAGGACACCTTATACCATTGTTGTGGCCCACCAGTGGCCAGTGGAGCTGGTGGCAAACTCAAACATTGAGGCGGTTGGGGAGGAACATGGGCCAGTCCCAGAATCTGGGGAAGGCTCGGACGAGGGCTCTGTGTCGGAGGCAGAGAGGGGGGCAGGGCCATCCGAACAGTTATCAGCTGCCTTCTGAGTCGGAGATCAGTGGGGCAGAAGAACATCTGGAGCCTGTTCCCGGTGTGCGCATGCGCAGAGCTGCCACGAGAACAGCTAAGGAACAAGGGCCGACTCGGGAGTAAAGGCACAGCTGGAGAGTGAATGGCCCCTCCCAGAGGGAATAAAGAGGAGCGAAAGGGGAGGGGAGTTTGCAGGAGGCCATTAGTTCAACTCATTAGGGGAAAGATCCGTTCCTGACTTCTTGGCAAGGAATTGCTGCTACAGCGTGGTGTTTTGAAGATATCGGCCCGGCAGCTCTCCAAGCCTGATAAAGGTCTGTCATTGTGAAATCTTTTGAAAGGCTGTTGGCCGGGACTTTGCTGGAGAGGCATTCCCTTTAAGAGGATTTATCGGGACGTCGGCTTCGTGCTTTTGGGAAGCCTAAGTCAGAACACCTATTCCAAGTAGTAGGTCATTATTAAAGAGCTGTTGATCATTCCTACCTTGAGTTGTTCGCTTAGCTTGGATTCCACATCCAGTCGGATTAATACCGGCTCCGTGAGACCTGAGAAAAGGGGAACAGGCTGTCAGTCACTGATGTGAGCAGACACTACTGTCATCGTTCCAAATATCATGCAGAATTAAATCAGAGTCTAAGGCAAAACTATCCTTAAAGTTCCAATTTAATAAATCAGACATCTTGGCATCATGCTATGGAAT